AATTATTTACATAGACAACAAAATCGCGCCCATACATATATATATATATAATAAATAAATTCCTACTTTTCTTAACGGAATGAATGAATGAATGATTGATTGATTGATTGATTGATTGGGAAGAAAAAATTTTAAAAAGCTTTAAGAAACCGGAAGAGAATTTTTGTTAATAAAAAAAAAAGTAAAAAAAATACATATATATATATGAAGTAGATTTTAATTTAATAAAAAAAAATTAATTAATTCTAACTAAAGTATTAAAAGTATTATTATCATTATTAGTATTATTATTATTGGTATTAATTAATCATCGTTTAATGTTGATTATGATGGTAATAATAATAATAATAATAATGTTTTTATTTTGTCAGGCAACGCCGCGATTTTATTTTTATTTTTTTTTTTTTAACGAAATAGTATTTTTATTATTTTATTATTTTATTATTATTATTATTGATTATTAATTATTATTATTATTATTATTATTAATTATTATTAATGTGTTTATTTTTTTTAAATCGTTGAATCGATGATGATGATGATGATGATAATTATGATTATGTTAAAGTGAAAAGAAAAGACAGACTAATAAGAAAATAATAAATAAATAAATAATAATAATAATAATAATAAATTGGGTTTTTTTTGTGCGAATCAAAATAAATTATTTATTTATGTATGTATGTAGTAATAGTTAACGCGTTAACTTTTTATTTTATTTTATTTTTTAATAGTTTTTCTTAAATCTTTTAATCTTTTTTTTTTTTGCAAAATCTTAATTATTTATATATATATATATACAACTATTATTATTATTATTATTATTATTAAACTTTATTAATTATCTATTTTATATTATTTATTTACAATAAAAAAAAAAAAAATATTAATTTTATATAATTAAGATTATAATAATAATAATAATAATAATAATAATAATAATAATAATATATTTTATGAACGTATTTTTGTGGAATTATTTATAAAAAAAATCATTTATTTATATATTTAATTTAATTAAAAAAATCATTTTATTATCATTATTATTATTATTATTTATTCTATTAAAATTGATGATAAATTATGGATTGATATGTCGTGCGATGATTATTATTATTATTATTATTATTATTTAGTTTGTTTGTAAAGTATTAAAAGAAGAAGAAGAAAATTATTAAAAAAAATTATTATTATTATTATTTATGCTTGTTTATTAATTGTAATTATTTTTTTTTTTTTTTTGCTCGAGTGTGTATTAATTAATTAATTAATTTATATTATTATTATTATTATTATTATTATTACTATCATCAAAACTATACAATAGGAAAAGTTTTTTTTTTTTTTGTGAAATTCGATTAAAAAAAAAAAATAAATTAAAATTTTACCAACGTTAGTATTATTATTATTATTATTATTATTATTGGATTATTTAAAGAAAAAAATGTTTGTAACGTAGGAAAAAACAAATTAATATTATTATTATTATTATTATTATTATATAATTAATAATTATTAAATGATATATAAATATTTTCTTATTATTATTATTATTATTATTTACTCGACTTATATATTATTATTATGATTTCGTGACAAAAAAATAAAAATAAAAAAAAATTTAATTTTTATAAATTATTTATTTATTTATTTATTTATTATCCAAACCTTTTTATAGATATCCAATCATTATTAATATTTAAACGAGTGGTAATGTTACGATTGTGTTGTTATGAAATTTAATCGAAGTTGAGACGATTTAGAAAAGAATTTTTGTTTAACAATTGTTATGATAAGTTTTTTATATATATTTATAATTATCATCATCTTTTAAAACTTTACATTTATTTTTGCACTGTTTTCATTCACTGAATTATAAATCAACACTCGATAAATAATAATAATAATAATAATCATTTTGATAATATTTTAACACATATTATTATTATTATTATTATTGAATTCCCTAATTTTTTTTTTCTTTTCTAACTTGAACATTATGGGTAACTTAAAGTATTTATTATACTTAATTTGGTTCTTTATGATAATATTCATGTTTATCACTATTTAACGTTATATTACGTTTCATACTCCTAATTTTTTTAAATTCCTTATAAACACATTCCATATCGACTGAAAAATAATAATAATAATAAATAATTTTGTGTGTGTGTGCGTGTGTGTAATATTATTTTGAGTAATTATGTTATATATTACGTACTTAAAGGATCAAAACGAATAACTTCTTTTTTACCGGCGGTTCTTTCTCTAAGTGATATTAATTTATGATTGCTTCCAGTGCTTTGTAAAACCACCATAACATTTCTATATTTATATTCAACAAAAAAAATTATTTGTTTTTTGTATTAAAATACCCGTTTGACCGTTAGTTAAAATGAACAAAAGAAGAAATAAGATTGTAATAAGGTGAAACAAAAAAAATAATAAAACAACTTACTTGGCTTTAACTTTTTTAAATAAAATATTTGTTATAAACATATCTGAAAACGTTTCACACTTAAAATTCTATTCAAAACAAATAGTCTTGTTGTTAAAAATTTATACGAAATTAAAAAGCAACAAGACGAATTTTGATTTTGTTGATTTCTAAACGAACAATGGCGTGCACTTCGCATCCAAAATGGCGGACGTTATGCATATGTGTAAGAGTCAATCTGATTTTAGCGCCGAAAATTTGGCGCTTGTGATGTTCGAAACGAGCGAAAATGACGATGTTATTGCATTTTTTAATAAAATGGCCTTCTGGGAGTAACTTATGTAGGGTATTTCATGCCTACGGGTTCGGAAAACCTTCGAAAATACAACAGAAAAGCGTTTCGTGAAACCCATTGTAAAGGGGAACGCGAGATGTAATCGCACAAATTCAATCAGGTAGTGATGAAACTGTTATATTTTCCATATCTATAATTTAATCTCTCGAAATGCAAATACTCTGTTTGTTCTCCACAAGAGAATTGGCTGTACAAAATTCAAAAAGTTATCCCTGCATTATTGTTAAGAATTTAGGAGAAGACATAAGAAAACTAAAATTTACTCAACACATGATATTTGTATTTAGAAAAGAGTTTTTGACATGATTCGTCATAGAATATTATATATAAGAAATTTATTAAAATGTCGGTTTTGAATAAAAATGAGCTGACAAAATGTCAAATAAAAGATTCAAAGAGGAAATTTATAATGTAAACAAATACATACCCCCTGAGATGCAAATTGTTTTAATATCTCCCCCACACTAAATAATGGAAATGACATGAAAATGAAATGACAAATCCAATTAAAAATCTTGTCAAACAAACAAACTACTATTTGAAAGCATAAAATGACACAAAGAGACACAATTTTTATTATTTTTTTTTTCTGCTTTCGAAAGACAAATTTGACACATTTTATGTTTTATATAAAATATTAATAATAACTCAAGCTGTTATATTTTCCAGAAGAAAAAGAAAAGTAATTTATAAACATTCACCCCTTAATTTCACCCCTTAAGCAAAATTCATTCATTCATTTGATTTTTTTTTTATCATTCGAATTGATTCCCTTACAGAAAAAATTAAAAAGAATTAAAAACTGATCAATTTAAGCAGAATTATTTTTAAAAAAGGCGCGAAATTTAAAATCAATCACGACCTCGTATTTCCCATTAATAACGAACAAGATTTTAAATTTAAAAAAGTAATAATAATAATAATAATACAAATGATAATTAATTAATTGTAATGAAAAAAAAATTTTTTCAATTTAAATCCAAAATCAAATTTTTATTTTTCAATTAAATAAATAAATTAATAAATAAATAAAATCAATTACATTAAATATATTTATATTTTAATATTTTTTATGTATATATTTATAAGCCGAAAGCTTTTTTTTTTTTTTATCCAGCATCATCATCATTATCATTATCAATATAATCACAAGCTATAATTAATAATAATAATAATAATAATCTAAGGCCTTAACAGTCGCAAAAATTAAATTAATCAATTAATAAAATAAATTTTTTTTTTTTTTTTATTTATTTATTTTATACCGGTTATTATTATTATTATTACAATCATGATGGCGGCAAAAAAAAACAATCGATTAATTTAAATATAATTAATAATAATAATAATAATAATGATAATGATAATAAATATAATTAAATAGAAAAAAAAAAATTTTTTTTTTTTTTTGTTTACAAATATAATAAATAAAATTTGACATGATTCTTTTTGGAATTTTTCCCCTTATTTAAATAAATATTAATTAATAACAAATAACGTTTGATTAATAATATTTGATAATAATAATAATAATAATATTAATATTAATAAATAAATAAATAAATAATTATTTCATTTTATTACCGAAATTATTGTTAGAGACCACGTCATCGTCAAATTGATTTTAAAAATCATTAAAATTATTAATAATTTAAAATATTATTATTATTATCGTTTTTTTCCCTTTTAAGGTTCGGTTAATAATTAAAGTAATAATTGAAATTATTATCATCATCATCATCATCACCATCATCCCGATCCTTTATGGTTGTTTCGTTTACGAAGAACGAAACGAATGAATTGGATCTGTTTGTCCTTGTTTGTCTTCCCCCTCCCTCTCTCTCTCTCTTTTTGTGTGTTGTCCGTCTACGTTTTTGTTTTTCCCTTTCCCCTGTTTGTCTGTGTTTGTTTGTTTGTACTTTCGACATCTGCAATTTTTCGTCATTTAAAAGGTGTGAAAACATTTTTGTGGGCGTGTACTCGTTCGCGTCCGTCGTAAAAAAAATTTACAAAATGGCGAATGAGGGCGTTGATAATGATAATAATGATCAATCAATCAATCGATCGATCGATCGATAAATAAATAACAATGTAATTTTTTTTTTTTTTTTTTTAATGAATCCCGATTCGTTCGTTATCGTTTCCATTTTTCCCGAACAAACACCGAACGTATATCGGACGTAATTAATCACGTGACGTAATTAACTTACAATTATCACGATGATGATGATAATAATAATAATAATAATTAACAAACCATTAGTGCGTTCGAACGAATTTTTCCCAACAACGATAATTTTCTTCTTCTTTTTCTTCCATTTCAAAAAAAAAAAAAATGTTCGTTTAAAACTATTATTATTATTATTATTAAAACACTACAAAACTATAAAATAATTTTCTAAAGCGATCACAAAACCGGAAACGCGCATTAAAAAAAAAAAGAAAAACATCTATTTCCGCTTCGGAAACTAAAAAAAAAAAAAAAAAAAAAAAAACCGGAAACGAACGATTATATCGATATCTAATTCTATTCGTAACGTTTTTCTTCATTCATAAATTGATCTAATATATTTTGCATGGATTGTCTAAGACCATCCGGACCGCCTATATCTGTAAAACAATAATAAATTCAAACAAACAAACAAACAAACGAACAAACTACAACTCTATTAAAAAAAATAAGAGCGAGTTTTTTTTTTTTTTTTAAATTAAATTAACCGGAAATGGAATTTTTCCCGCGTTTACGCACGCACGCATGCAATAATCGACGTGATTTAATTTAATTTAATTTAATTTAATTTAATTTTACAAAAGCTAAACGTGATTGTTTAGGTTTTCTTACCTTAAAAACGGTTAAAAGAAAGTAGCGATAAGTCATAGATGATTGGAAACGTTATGTATATCCAAAGTGTTAAACCGATAATAACCAAGAGCCATGCTAATAAAGCTGATAAACATGCTAAACTACCACTACTACTACTACTACTACCACTACCACCACTTCTACTACTACCCGTCGTGAACTAATAATAAAAAATAAAATAATAATAATGATGATGATGATAATAATAAAACAAAATTAAAAAAGAAAAAAAAAAAGAAAAACAAAACGAACGAAACGAGTTAAAAAAGGATAGAGATAGTGAGTGAGTGAGAGAGAGAGAGAGAGAGTGAGTGTGCTTGGAAAAGTTAAAAGAGGAATTTTGTTTTCTTACTCTATGAAATCGTTCGAATTATCAAACCGGAATGAAATTTTCTTTTTCCCTTTTATTTTTTTTTTAACAGTACCTGTGTTGTCATCTGGTGAAAGTTCTGCTCCCTCGTGTAGGGCAACGTCGGATCCGCTCGAACTCGCAATCGTCCTTTTTCCAGGACTGTTCGATTGTTGTCTTTTGACACGTCCTCCGGAATCGTCTCTGGAATCGGAATCGGAATCGCTTTCGGCAACGTCGTCTGAAAAAATATCCGCAATAAAGTTTTTAGTTCTTTTCCCCGTCGTTTCCCTTTTCCCCTCCCCCCCCCCTCTCACTCACCTTTTCTTTTGCTGTTACTTTTTTCATTCGTATCATTCGGCCCTCTTTCTCCCCTCGATTCTTTCCCTCCTTCTTTCTCTATGAATTCTTCAACGATTCCGATTTTCGTTTTGAAACCATTTTTTTTAACATCGTTTATTTTTTTCTCCGGCGAACGTTCCTCGAAATCCCACTCGACTTCTATTTCGTCTTTTACGTCTTTCGCCGCTATTTTATTATTATTATTATTATTATTATTAATATTATTTTGCGACAATTTATTATTATTATTATTATTATTAGTACCGGCACTAGTTTTATTTTTAGATGATTTTTTCGATTTTGATTTTGTTATTTTTTTCGTCGGATCTAATATTTCAACTATCGGATAATTTATTTCTTCTTCTTCTTCTTCTTCCTCTCCTCCTCTTCCACTGACTCCTCCTACTACTCCTACTACTCCTCCTTCTATTTCCCGACTATTTTTCTTTTTATCACTTTCGATTTTTCCAACGTCGGAAAATTTCAACGACTGATTTTTTTCTTCATTCGTTGACGACGTCGACGTTAATTTGTCGGAAATTTCCAAGTCAAAGTTCACCGTTTCCCGATTTTTAAAATATTCATTTTTATTTTCCGATCCACCACCTCCACTACCACCACCCCCTCCTCTTCCTCCACTTCCTCCTCCCTCGTTTTTCTCGTAATTATTATGAGTTATTTCGAGATGATCCGATATATCTTTGATCGGTTCTCCACTCTCAACCGATCCTTGATAATATGAATTTTCTAAAAAAAAAAAAAACCAACAAACAAACAATCACGCGTACATTTATAAACAAACAAACAAACAAACGAACAAACGAGGTAAAAAAAAAAATATTAATGCGAGTCTAGAAATGAAATTCTTGTTGCCGCCGCCGACGCCGCCATTTTTAAACGTATTCAATTTGAATTATTTATTACAAAATCCCGCGTGACGAAGAAATTTAAATTAATTCATTAACAACAAACAAACAAACAAACAAACAAATCCGTATAACGCACACGCACACACACAAAAATTTCTAATTTAAAATAATTAATAATAATAATAATAATAATAATAATAATAATAATAATAATCGAAAAAAAAGAAAATTTTCAAACGAACAAACATTACGATTGATAAGAATTAATTTATATATATATAAGTATTTAACTTGAAAAAAAAAAAAAAACTCGTTAATTATTGATTTCCGATAAATGAATCGATAGATCGATCGATCGATAGTAGCAGTCGATCGACAAACAAACAAAAAATTAAAAAATTCGATCTAATTAGTCGCCATCGGAAAAATAATAAATTTTTTTTTTTTTTTTAAATATTATCTTATCAGCCCGAAACATTTTGACACAAATTAAAATAGAAAAGATGGCGGGGAGTGGAAATCATTAAAAAATCGTTCATTAATTATTTTTTAGTATTTTTCGATTTATCGATCCATCTCGATCGATCTATGTGACAAATAATAAAGGTCGACCTATCGTTTTCAGTGTCGTCCGTTCCACCGGTCCCACCGAATATTTTAACGTTGATTTTTTTCGATTCGATTATATCGCTGTCGTTAACGATTCGCGAACCGTTCGATTTTTTTTTATTTCCTGTTGCTCCTGCTCCTCCTGCTGCTGCTGCTGCTGTTGTTGTTTTATTTTTTTCATCATCATCATCATCTTCGTTCATGCACGATTCGTATAAATCTTGAATGAATTCGTTCAAATAATTTTCGTTAATGTATTCATACGTCAACGAATCAAATTGTTTTACTAAAACGTTCGCGGCGTTCGTTGATTCTATTTCCGCGTATAAATTTTCAAATTTTTCATTTGATGACGTCATCATTTCACATTCGAAACGTGTCAACGAATCGCTTAAATTCTAACAAACGACTGAACAACAACAACAACAATAACAAAATAAAGATAATTTAACGTCGCAGAATTACGTCTCAGTTCAAAACGTGATAAGTTATTAAATACAACAACAACAACGGCAACAGACAATAACAAACAAAGGCGGCAACAACCAATTATCGAAATTTTCCGCGAATCTAAGCACATTTTATATATAGAAAAAAAGCAAAACTCGAATCTTTCGATTATCAAATATGGCGGACGTGACTCGCGCGTGATTTTCCAACGTTCAAATCATCACCTTGAAATTTTTTTAATTCCGATAACCGTTACAAATTTTCATATCATAAATAATATAAAAAATCCGGAAACGGAACGACGCGAACGTTCGAACGCGTGTTATCACGTCGACTATTATAATAATAATAATAATGATTTTGGATCATTTGATTCAATTAATCGAAAAACACTTGAGGATTTACGATCCGCCGCCATCTTTTTTATAATTTTTTTTACCTTTCAATCTTTGATTTAAAACTCCTTGCATGACGTCATCATCATCATCTCCATCGCCGTTTTTCTTTCCATTTCCGGCCGTCGTTATTTTTTTCTCTCTTTCGACGTTATCCTTGTCTATTTTATCTTCCATCTTTTTCGATGGACTCTGTAAAAAAAAAAAAAAAAAAAAAACGTGTCAAAAGACGATTACGTTCCTTTCGATGGGAGTAAAATCGATTCAAGTGTACGAGACACAAACCTTTTTCGAACCGTTCTCCCCCTTTTTTTTCCTTCCTAGACTACCCCCACCACCACCACCACTCCCGTCTCTCGACGAACTCATCAATTCGTTTTTCAAACTTTCAAATCCGGATTGATCGAATTTGTAACCGTCCAAAATGGAATTGTCCAATTTTAAACTGTCGGAATGATCGAGTTGAATTTTGGCAATTTCCTTTTCCGTCGCATCTTTCACTGGTTCCACGTTAAATATGCAAGCGTTCACTATGTCTTCTCTGTTTATCGCTTTCAATGCCTGACTCAAAACGTTACCTGAAAATTTTTAATTCAATCATTTTCGCGCGCGAAATTATAAGGATTTCAACCGGAAATAAACCTTACCCGCGAAATTTCCGTTAAACGAACGAAAACGGAAACGGAAATTACCACCGCGGAAACGGAAATTTTTTTTTTTTTTTTTTAAATTAACTTTAAATAAAGAAACTTTTGTCGCAATATCATCATCATTATTATTATCATTATTATTTAATCATATTGAAGAAACTGTCACCGATGGAAAATCTAATAAACATGATTAATCGACGGAAACGTAACATTTGCAAAAAAAAAAATACTTTCAACAACTGTTCGTCACTTTCTTACGTCATGTTTCTATTCGCGCACGTGGATACTTACACGTGTTACCAGTAGGAAAAGTAAAAGCAGAAGAAGATAAAACACACACACACAAGTAGCGTCGTAGTACCTGACCGACTTTTTTTGCTTTGTTTAGAAAACTTAGAAAAACAACATTAAAAATCTTAAATCCTTTACATCGAAAATTGATTTCAAATTTTTTTTTTTTTTTTTTTCTATTGACACTGACAAAAAAAATTTCTCTTTCCGTTTGTTTTTTTTTTTAAAGTTAAAAAAGAAAATAATAATAATAAAATAAAAATAAAAAGAATTCATCTTGTGGATGATCGAGTTCTTTTATTCCAGCTAAATACATCGGCGTAATTGTTTTGTTTTTTTTTCGCGGGTTTTTTATCTCTAATCGATGATGATGATGATGATGATGATGATTCTAACAATTGATAATCGTATTCGTTTTTCCTACAAAATTCTATCGCTCCCTCCAACGTGTCAAAATGTATTTCCAACGTGGATAAAGAATCCGACGACGACGTCCAACCCATCGTTGGATTTTCCCATTTTTCCCGTACGTTGAATTTAACTCTCCACGTCGTCGTGTTGTACGTTCCCGATTGCATGACGTTTTTCGGGTATTTGTATATAATGGCGACCCGTTCCTTCATGTAATCCCCGGGCATTCCGTTATCGATCCCGATTTTACATTCTTCTTTTTCATCAATCAACACGTTACGCCTTTTCTTTTCGACTTCGATCACTTCACGCGGACGTATGACGTCTTGTAAATTTTTCGGATGTAATATATCCGGGCAAAATCCGAGTTCTCTCAATTTCGTACCGTTCGGAATATCTATTGCGGGACCGTAGGGAAGGGGATCCTCTTTCGGTATCACCATTTCCCTTCCCCGACAATCCGGTTCCGGCGGACATATCGTGTAAGTCACGGGGATTTTAGGCGGAGGTTTCAAAACCGGATGATCGTCTTCGTTTAGCGGCGGACACGGGTGCGGGTCGGGATGTGGTACTTTTGTTTTAATTGCCGTCGGCGGAGGCGGGGATTCTTTTTCCGTTGGAAGCGGATCGCAAAGATTCCTCGTCGGATCGCAGGTATCCTCGCAAGTATTCCTCGTCACTTTCTGCACTAATTTTTTCCTATGTTTATCCTTTTTTAACCAACTACAATCAATGAGTTTTTTCCACTTTTCACTGCCGCGAAAACAAATTTGATTCGTTGAAAAATTACAAATGCATAAATTTGAACAATTAACACTGATCCATAAAATTTTTTTACAAGATAACATGCTAGTAGGAAAATAATATATGTAAACAACGTGATTTCCCCCCCTTCCCCCCCGTCGTGATAAAAACAAATAATTGAAAATGATTCCGGAACGGGAAATAAAAATTTTTTTGAGGGAACAAGTAAAATTTATCATTATTATTAATATTTTTTTTTTTTTCCGAACTTACCCGACGGTTTGTCGCCGTTCACGTGCAACCAAAGTCTCAACATGAGCATGGCTTGTTGAGGAATATTATTTGGACATTCTTCTTCGATTTCTTTCACGTTCGAAGGACTTATATCCAATTCTTTTGCCAATAATATCCAATCCCGATGCAAACGATTCGAAATATCCGATAATCTTATATCTGCTCGATGAATGACGTCAGAATCTATCGCAAACGTTTCGTCTATTAAATTAATCTTTTTTTAAAAAAAAAATAATAATGATGATAATTTTACGTTACTCACTTAAATTTCCCTTTCGAAATCTATCAATGCTTAACAAATCGGGTTCGGATCTTATGTCCGGAAGAATATTTTCCGGGAGAGTCATTTGTAAAACGCAAATGGGAGCCTGAGAAGGATCACCTTTGGCAATCTGTGAAGAAAAAAACACACGTTCATCATCATCATTATTAGTATCGTTAAACGAAATTGAGGGATTGGGAAAATTTCCCACCTTGGGATCTTTCATGAAAAATATCCTTCCCAAAGGTTCCTCGTGTTGATCACGTATTCTCACGTTAAAAGGCAAACGATTTTCTTTGAATGCTTTAAACGTGAATTGCAATTGATCTCCGCTTTTCGTTATTGGTATTAAATTACCGCCGAATTCTACGTAATTCGATTTACCTTCTAAAACCTGAAACGATCATTTGAGACGTTAAAAATCAACCAATTTTTTTTTCTTTTCTTCTGCTATCAGGCTCGTTTCGTACCTCGACATCACGACTTTTTGCAACTTCGGTAAAATGTTCTTGGTGTTCGAGAGTTTTGTCTTCTTTGTCGTCCGTCATGCAAAATACGCAAAGTCTTGCTTCTAAAACGTCGATTCTCTTTGCGAAAATTACAAACCTGAATTTGAAGGATGGGGAGGAGTGGGGGGGTGGAGAAAAACAAAAAAAATTTCTCATTTACCCTTTTGAACTCATCGAAATTAAGTAATTTTGGAAAATATTTACGGACTTTGCCATGAATGGTACGTGTATGGCTTCCCGATAAAGTTCCGTCGCCATTTTTGTAGCTTCACCTATGTTCCGACAATCCATTAGCCAAAATCTCGCAGAAACGGTTGTCGTGAACGACACGCAGTCTTTGACGAACGTGAGAGGTGTGGAACCAGTTACGTCTTCCCATTGAGCTCTCGTACTTCCTCCTGTACGATACAAACGTCATTCTTCGGTTTTACCATCACCACAATTTTTTTTTTTTTTTTTTTTTTTTACAAACCTGAAATCGAACAAAGGAGACGAAGAGTCGGTGCTTCTCCCGAGTATTGATTGATCATTCCTTTGCTAGCAGCTTGCGGTATGGGTATCGTGAGAGTTATGGGTTTGTGAAATTTTCTACGCCTGGGTTCAACTGTTACGATGGGTGAAATAGCGACGCGATTCCCGAGTAATTTCGCCGTAAGCTCCGGAGGAATGGGTTGAGCCTGTAATCCGACTCGGATTTTTTTCGTCAGGGCGTTGGGAGGGAAAACAGCTTGAACTTGAGGGACTACGCTTGAAGACACCGTTCCACCTTCCGGACCAATCGGATGAACTTCTTGTCTCAATCGAGTTATTATAGCAAAATATTGCGGGAAATCTTCCGTTAATATTCTCGTGATTCTATTCGTTTGCAAATCTTCTATCTGACCCAATTCTGTTCAAAACAAATTAAATTTTTTTTTTCTCTCTCTCTCTCTCTCTTTTCTTTTTGAAAAGTGTTCATTTATTTCGAGACCTCACCTTCTCCTTCGAAACTTTCATTAAGTACATCCTGTACGGCTTCGTGACTAGCTTCCAACGTGTGTTCCTTCCACGTTTCCCCGTTATCTGATCTACATATGACGATTTCACGTTCTTTTCCACGTAACGATGCAAAATGGGGAACTTCAATGATGACGGGACTAAAACGACCAAAAAAAAAAATTTCTTCTTAAAAAAATTATCTGACGTCATCCAAATGAGGAATGCGATGAACGAATTCTTACCCTAAAAATTTTGCTCCCACGGGACCCAATTCGAGAACTCGACTCGCCAGTGCTTCTCCTTCCATTAGCGGCGGCGGATGTGATAATTTATCACGTTTTAAATATCGGCAAGTTATTCTCATGGGCATGGGTGCTTTTCTCGGCGGTACTATGACTCTTACGCCGGAATGACGACATCCTCTCATTGCACCACCACGAGCATCCACGAGAAAACTTACGAGAAAGCTAATTTGCAAGGTGATTAAAAAAAAAAAAAAAAATTATTTTCACGAGGAAAAGCCGCCGGGAGAAGGGGTGGGGAGGGGGGGGTAAAGAAAAAGCTACAAATAAGCTATGTTATTATAATAGGGAGAAGGGAAACATAAACAACTACGATGTGACGTTTTGAAAATGAATCAAAAAAAAAAAATGAATTCGATTCGATATTTCGACAAACGGCAGCGATTAAAGCAAAACAACCGAACAAACAAACAAACAAACAAACAAACACCTCACTTCGCTAAAAGCGATTAATTATACCCAATTTTTTTATTTAATTACCCCGACAAACAACCGACAAACATTAATTTCCTCCCCCCCCCGTCCCCCGCCTAAAAATAATTCCACGATGAAATTTTTTATTTTTTTTTTCATTTGCCGATTAGAAAAAATGAATGAATGACTGATTGATTGAATGAATGAATGAATGAATGAAAATTATTACGTCTTGCAAATATTAAAAAAAAATCCCCCGATTGATCCGTACGGAAAATGAAAAAAAAAAAAAAAAGGGGGGGGCACTACGAAACAAATCTTACTTAATTTAAAATTTTAAAACTTACTGCTTCCACGATTTCTCTCTGTTTATTATTTACACGACACATTGAAACAAAAACAAAATTTTAACAGGTTGAATGCAATTCGATTCAATGCAACAACAACAAAAATAATAATAATAACTTTCTCATTATCAATTTCTGACCGATTTTTAAAAAAAAAAAAAGTTTGTTTCGAACGAGGTTGTCGCTGTGGCAAATATTTAAATCATTAAAATAAATAATAATTTAAATTATCATTTTTTTTTTTTTTTTTACCTTTCTCTAGACATTCCGCCATAATATTTTGTATTTTTATTACTCGTCTGCAGAGCTGTGAGCGTGCGATCTAACTTGTCACTATTCAATCTAAACAGGTTTCGATAGGTACGGAAAAAAAAAAAAAAAAATTTAATTAAAAAATTAAAAAACTTTCGAAATAACCCACGAGATGAAATCCAGACGGAAAACGATGTTTTTCATGAAATTTTTTTTTCCCTCCCCCCTCCCCGCTATCGTGACCCTAAAATAACTACGGATCCCCTTTAATATTATTATTATTATTCCCAAAGCACCTGATAACGGTTTTAAAATCAAATAGTATTAATTTTTATTGATCTTATCGGAACGAATCCTTCGAACCTACAACGTGTGGATTCGGAAGATCCCCTTTAAAATAATCTAATAATGATAATGATAATGATAATAAAAAAATTATCGATCGATTTACTATCACGTGACGACCTGAAACAACTTTTTTTTCGTTCAGGTTTAAAAAAAAATTTCATAAAAATCGTTTTCCCGCGCATCTCGATATATTCTCTTCGACCTCTCCTATTCATGCAAGTTAATCGAACAAAAAATCTAATTGAAAACAAACAAAACAAACAATTCAAAAACTCTGTGTGTTATTGTTTGTTTTTTAAATCACGATTTTAATTTGTCATCGCATTCGATTATTTTTTTTAATTTGCATGCCATCGTTTTTTTATTACAATTTAAAATTTAAAAATCGTGGTAGCAGATTAGAATCGAAATGTGAAAACTACAAACAACAAACAAACAACAAACGACAAACTAAAAATTGTTTCAAATCATAAGAAATTTGCCACACCGACACCTCTTCAAACTTTATCACAATCGGTTTATCAATTTTTTTTCTTTTTTATTTTTTTTCAAGCTATTAAAAACGTGCAAAAAGATTTTTTTTATTTTTATTTTTTTTTTGCTGTTGCTAAAATTTTGCGGCGGCGGCAACGCGAGATTTGCCTTCTTTTCCCGAAGCAAATTTTTAAAACAAACAATTTCAAAACCTAAACCTTAACGATAAAAAATCATCCGCGACACAATTAAAAAAAAAATTAATTCCAAATTTTCTGCGTTTCCATCCCTTCCCTCCCCTTCCCCCCCACAAAAAAAAAGAAACAGAAAGAGAGAGAGAAAGAGAGAGAAACAAGGCAACAATGTTAAACGGAAAAAAAAACAAACAAACAAACAGGGAAACATTTAATTTTTTTTTTTTTTTTTTAAAGGGATGAATAATGAGAGAGAGAGAGAGAGAGAAAAAAAAGAGAGAGAGAAAACCCCTTAACACAATTTACAAACCCTCGGGTTCGTCGTTAGCAAAAACAAAATAAAATTAAAAACAAACAAACAAACAAAAATAATTCAAAAAAAAAAACTCACCCTGCGTGTACGGCTCTTTTTATGTTTACGTTATCCGTACGTCCATTATTATTATTATTATTATTTTGTGAATTCGCCGTCCAATTTTCCGTATAATTTTCCTGCACAATGACGGATTCGTTCATTCGCGACGGTGCTAAAATAAAACGAAAGAAAATAAGATTTTTTTTCTTAAAAAAAAAAAAAAAAACAAAACAACCGTCAGACAAACGTCACACCTCTGTTCTCTTCGTCACGCGTCACGTCGATCCTGTGCGAATCGTCACCGAAACTTTTCATATCGTCGCTCATTAAATAATTGTATTGATGTTGATCGATCCCTGGTTCCTCACCTGAAATCATTCGACCGTGTGTTAAATACCTTGTCACAAATACAAAACCGTCACAAGTGACGCACGAACAAATTATTCACGTTCGATTTAATGTAAATAAATAAATATTATCATTATCATTATCATTATCATTATTATTATTATTATTTATTCATTAATAATTGTTTTTGATTTTACAGGCCAACCCAATAAATTTTTTTTTTTATTACGTAAGCGAAACGTGTAAGAAAAAAAAAAAAAAAATTTTTTTTCTTTTATTGTTATGTTATCCCTCGGCTAATAATAATAATAATAATAATAATAATTTATGTACATAATTTTAGCGTATGAAAATGATTGTGATGATGACGTCGACGACGATAATGATGACGTCATGTTAAGGTTTCTTTAATTTTCGATGTGAGAGAGAAGGAAAAAGGCATTTTATGTACAGACCGATCATGCTATTTTTACGATAAACGATTACAACTGCTGTGAATGGTTGATTGATTGAATGAATGAATGAATGAATGATTTATTGAATGAATGAATGAATGAATGCAAAGCAAAACGTAAAACGATGTAATCGAAAAAGCAACAAAACCAAAAAAAAAAAAAAGCCAGTTAAAAAAAGAAAAAAGCTCGGGAGGTTTTAGGTGAGTTGGGGGGGGAAGGGAAGGGGGCGGTGGGCGAGCGGGGGGGGTAGAGGAGAAACAACCACGAATACGTTATTTGGAGAATAATAATAATAATTATAATAAAAGAAAAAAAAAATACGTTTTCAAATAAGCATCGTTAACGATTATTATTATTCAAACAAGACTTACGAGTGTATTTCATCTCCCCTTGATAATAAGGTAAGTATACATGTTGAGCATGAGTTGGTTTACCGAAAATATCTTCCTCGCCACCTGGCGGCAAGATAAAATAATAATAAATACAGCCGTAAGATTAAACGAAATACCAATCAAGATAACAAACAACAAACAACAACAACAAACACAAATATTTAAAAAAATTTTTTTTTTCCTTTTTTTTTCTTCTTTTTTCGAATCAAATCGATTCTTATCGATTTATTTTATCGATTAATGATAATGAGTGACGCATCATCGATTAATCGCAAAGAAAGAATTTTAGTTGGTGAAACTTACAAACATGACATATAAGGTGCATAAATGCGAAAATATTTATTCGAAATAATAATAACTTGTGTTTGTTTTTTTTTTAATTCACTCGAAAAAAAGGAAAAGAAGAAGAAAAATTAATAATAATAATAATAATAATTATGGAAAACTCACCGCATTCATCTTCCGAATCCGAAAGAAATGTTTCGTGCATGGCTTCCGGTGCGACGACTTTATATTTTTCTTCGATTGTCGTCGTCGTCGTTGTCGTTATCGTCGTTTCCGTCACGACTTTTAACGTTTCCACGACGGATATATATCCAAGTTTTTGAGCTATCGACAGCGGAGTTTGACCGTTCTAGAAAAAAAAATAATGATAATAATTTTCGTTTTACGTATTTCACGCCATTTTTTTTTTTTAAATTGTAGTAATTCATTTACTCACGTTTGTGGTAACGTTCGGTTTCGCTTTGTTTTCCAACAGCAAATTTATTATAAGGACGTGACCTTGTTGTGCCGCTTGATGAAGGGGAGTGTATCCGATGGCAGTGCTGCTGTTGACGTTGGCTCCCAAATTCAACAAATATCGTACCATGTTTATTTGTCCGAAATGACACGCGACGTGTAATGGCGTGTAACCAGCCTGACAATAATTTTTATTTTACAAAAAAAAAAAAAAAAAAATTCGATTTGTAAAAATGACGTTTGACGAACATTTTCAGACTTACCCTGGTGAGAGCGTCAACTTTCGCATTGTTTTTAACCAATATTTTGGCAACATCGACTTTATCTTCTTGAGCGCAAAGATGAAGAGGTACCAAACCGTTCTGAAATACGTTATTAAATTTACACGTGACCCACGTAATTTTTTTTTTCTTAAATTTTTTTACCTTTGCTTGATGATTAGGATCGGCGCCATTTTCCAATAGCAGCGAAGCCATGTCGACGTGTCCTTCTTGTGCCGCCAAATGAAGAGGAGTAAATCCTGCTTTGGATTCCGCGTTCGGTTTCGCACCGTATTCCAACAATGTCGACGCTATGTCCATTTGATTTTTTTTCACCGCTATGTGAAGTGGAGTATGTCCGTTTTTGGCAATCGCGTGAGGGGAAGCACCCTTGTCTAAAAGAAGCAGGGCGACGTTCTGATGATCGTAATGACTTGCCACGTGTAAGGGAGTAACTCCGTTCTGCCCAAAAAAAAAATATTTATGCATAATTTTAACTTGCGATTACTTTTTAACATCTGAGAGAAAACAAAACACTCGACGAACCTTTCCTTGTGCGTCTACATCGACATCTTTTTGCAACAACTGTTTAGCAACTTTTATATTCCCGTATTTGGCAGCCAAATGAAGAGGAGTGAAACCTTTTTTCGTTGTCGCGTTCAACGATGCACCATTTTCTAACAAAACAGCAGCAACCTTAAGAGAAATAAATTTTTAATTAAAATTTCTAAAACTGTACGAATCAATGACGTTTCTTAATAAATCATTAAGTACCTCGTCTTGTCCCTCCTTTGCTGCAATGTGTAGCGGAGTGTACAAATCTTTCGTCGGTGCATCTATGCTCGCCCCGTGTTGCAATAATAGCATGGCTATATCCGTGTTACCAAGTCTGGAAGCCACGTGTAAAGGTGTTTGTTCTTCCTTCGAGAATAATTTCATTTCACGTAAGTTAAACCATGGATTTATTATAGAAAAAAAATTAAGTAAATACAAAACTCACTCTAGCTTTCGCATCCACCATTGCATTATTTCTCAATAAAATTCTAATTATATCAGTTTGATTAGCTCTTGCGGCAAGGTGTAATGGAGTTTCTCCTCTTACCGTCGGTACATCCGGCGCAGCATTATTTTGTAATAAAAATATAACGATATTCATACATCCCATAAAACTGGCAACGTGTAATGGCGTCAATCCGGACTGTAAATTTTTATTTTTTTTTTTTTTTACTTTACAGAACGCATAATAATAAAATACGTTTTATAATTCAACCTCACCTCGGTGGTGGCTTCAATACTCGCTCCGTGTTTCAACAACAATTCCACGACTTTAAGCCTATTTTTTTTACAGGCGATGTGAAGAGGAGTAAAACCGTTCAAAGCTCTCGCATCCGGATCCGCTTTTCTATCCAGCAAAAGTTTAGCGACTCTTATGTGACCGCAATGAGCGGCAACGTGTAGAGCGGTGAGATAATCGACCGTCACTTCATCGACGGGAGCTTTATGATACAACAGTATTCTCGCAGCATCAACGTGATCTCCCTGAGATGCCATGTGTAAAGGTGCGAGACCATTCTGGAAGACGGGAAAAAAATTTTTTTAGTCCCCCCCCTTAAAAACAGGAAAAAAAAAAAAAAAAAAAACAATTCAAAATTCACTTTTGTTTTGCTTCTTATGGGTGCACCGTGTTCCAATAACAAATCGACGACTTGATCGTGTCCGGATCTGGCAGCGCAATGCAACGGTGTTAAACCATCTCTCGTTTTCGAATCGAGATTAGCTCCAGCAGCAATCAACATGGAAACCATGGATAATTTTCCCCATTTGGAAGCGACGTGAAGAGGAGTTATATTGTGCTGATTAACGAGAGAGAGAGAGAGAAAACAAAATGATTTTGATTGATATATATATGAAGGCCAACAAAAACCTAATTACCATTTACATTTTGAATAATTTATCATAGTCAGTGTCGCGTGAAGGGTGTGTAAACGTTAATATAACATATTAAAGGAAATGATGATTTCTTTCTTGTGTTCAACAACGACAACCATTTTTACAAAAAATTAACTAACAATTGTTATAAAATAATTTTTATTAAATTACTTACTTTTGCCGCAAAATTGACATCCGCACCCTTGGAATGTAGTAATTTAGCTATGTTGTCATTACCGTAGTGAGCCGCTATGTGAAGCGGAGTAAACCCGCTTTTTGACGTCACATCTGGGTCATGGTTATTCTGGAAAAGAAAAGAAAAGAAAAAAAAAAAAAATTAAAGTTGTACCATCATACCCACATTTCGACATTTTCCACGTTCCGATTTCTCTCTTTCGAATCTCGTAAAATTTCTGCTTCACGATGTGACGTCACACCCACCCCGTAGACGTTTGGGTAAATAAAAATAATAATAAAAACAAAATTTTTTTGTTTTTTTTTTTTTTTTTTTTTGTATATCGGAATGCAATAAAAATGCCGACGAGTTTAAAAGACGCATTTAAAGTATGGGAAGAAAAAACGAATGCAAACATATCGGAAGCGAAAGAAGTCATTTTGAGCTTTCAAAATCCACCGATAGAAAAACTCGACAATTCTCTATCAATACTCGTGCACTGTGAAAAATTATCTCTCTCGTCGAATTCCATTGAAAAAATAACCGGATTTAACAATTTGAAAAATTTAAAAATCCTTTCCCTGAGTAGAAACGTCATAAAAAGTTTTTCCGGTTTGGAACCTTTGGGTGACACTCTCGAACAACTTTGGATATCTTATAATTTGATTGATAAAATAAAAGGTTTGAATTCCTTTTTTTTTTGTTTTTCATAGACCCGTATCGATAAGGAAAGGTTCGAAAGGAATCAAACATTCGATTAAGACGAGAAAATGAATTAAAAGGCGTTACTGAATTTAACCGTCTGAAAAAAAAACTAACGCTTGAGATGTTGTTTGTTGTTGTTGTTGTTGTTGTTGTGTTTGTCGTCGTATCCATGCGAAACCAATCGCGGTTTTCTCCAGTTGAAATAATAATTTGTTTGTTGTTGTTGTTTCAGGCGTGAGCATTTTCAAAGCATTAAAAGTTCTTTACATGAGTAATAATTTGGTGAAAGATTGGTCGGAATTTCAAAAGCTACAAGAAATTCCACTTTTGGAAGATTTGGTTTTCTTGGGTAATCCACTCGTCGAACAATTAGACGAAGAATATTGGCGTAAAGAAGCGGCGAGAAGACTTCCGTCGCTTAAAAAACTCGACGGCGAACCCATAATAAGAGAATAATTTTCATATCGATCCATCGATCCATCGATCGATCGATCGATCGATCGATCGCGATTATCGATTTTTTCTTCTCGTTTTTTTTTTTTTTTTTTTTTTTTTTTGTAGTGTGTTTTTTAAATACCTGTAGGAGTAGAGCGGCCGCTTTACAATCGTCCTTTTTCGCTGCTATGTGAAGAGCAGGAAGTCGTACTTTTCCACGTGTGTCGTTTTCCAAAAGAACCGTCACGACTTTATCGTGTCCCTGCTGCATGGCAACAGCCAAAGGAGTGAATCCATCCTTTGAAAAAAAAAAAAAAAAAAAAGAAAAAAAAAATTATTCCTTTACACTTCGGCAAGGAGAGAGGGAGGGAGGGGGGTGATAACAAAGGAAAAATTCATACTTCGGTTGCCAAAGATTGACTGGCTCCTTTGCTCAATAAATATTTCACAACGCCATCGTGATTTTCTTGCGCCGCCATGTACAACGGCGTAAAACCATTTTGAGATTGCACGTTAACTTTTGCTCCTCGGTCGACTAATATTTTTACAACTTCTTCCTGTCCAGCTGAAAACCAAGAAGAAGAAGAACATAAAAAAATCAACGACAATAATAATAATAATAATAATAATAATTTTAAATTACTCCTTTTTCTTTTTCTTTAGCCAAATTGTTAATTCACGAAATTCCGTGACTTATCAAAACGTTGTTAAATTTACACACACGGCTCGACTTACCATTTAAAAAAAAAATATTTAACGACTATTTATCATCATTGTCCTCGATCCAACAATTTTTCTTTTTTTTTTTTTTGCGTGTGTGTGTGTGTGTGCGTAACCGAACGCATTGTCTAAAAATTTTAAAAAAACTTACCTAACGATGCTATGTGTAAAGACGTGCTTCCTTTCTTTGTTGCCGAATCTATGATAGCACCTCGTCTAATGAGTTCTTCGACGATATCAACGTGACCATCTTTTGCCGCCAAATGAAGAGCGTTCAATCCGTTCTATATAAAAAACGAAAACAATAGCAAAATTTTAACGGTTTTTCTTTTTGTTTGTTTCGCGATGCGTTTAAAGCGAAAGTTTTCTTTCATTAACAATATAATAATATAAAGAATTTTAAAAAAAATCTTTCCATTGTTTTTTTTTTTTTTGAAACAAACGTTTTAATCAAAGTCATAGAGTAAACAACAACGAAACAAAACAATTCAAAATTTAGGAGGTAATAATGGTAATGGGGGATTTAATTAAAAATAAAAGGCATTGGAAGGGGACCAAAAAAAAAAAAAGAAAATCCTTTTAAAAAAAAAGCAAAACAATGGAAAGAAAGAAAAAAAATCCCAAAACTGGAAACGACCCGAATGCATTTGTTCAAACCAAACCCACCAACCAAACCAAACAAAAAAAAAAAAAAAAACCCAAAAAAGCGAATTAAGATTGTCGCAATTTAAAAAAAAAAAAAAAAAAAAAATGCAATAATTTTATTTCCGTTTCCTTTATATTTTTTTCTATCCATCTCTCTCTTTCTCTCTCTTTCCCCCCCCCTCTCTCGCTCTTTCTTTCATCATTTTTTTTTTTTAAAACATGGGAATGTTTTTTCGGGGAGACTGAAAAGTATGATGTTTTTAATGATGGGTAATTTCATACCGAATTCACACCGAGGCGAAATCAACGTTAAAAAAAAAAAAAAAAAAACCATCTTCGCGCGCCATTTTTGGCCATTTCCGCCATTTTAGTTTTAACTCAAATTTCCAATTAAAAAATAAAATAATAATACGAGTGCGAATCATTTATTTTTAACGATCGAAACCCATTTCCATGAGGTTATTATTCCCGTGACTATCATTTCGAAAACCTTTTTAATCAATCAATCAATCACCTCCTTCTAAAAGTTCTATTTAAATAATAATAATAATAATAAAAATGAATTAGCCGATACGCCGGATGTGCTTGTACGAAACAATAACAACTCATTAACATTTCATAATGCACTTTTCACGAAACTATACCACTTTAGTCATCCAAACTTCGACCGGAACTTGACGTAACACATACATAATGATGATGATGATGGTACGCGATGATGTTACGATGGATAGTAAAAACGCGCGCGTAAAAAAAAAAAAATTTTTTTCGAAACGGGTAATGGAAAACTGACCGTAGTAAATGAAAACTAATCGGATTTCACGACGTATGAAAATTTTTTTTTTTTTTATTGCTCTCCTCGTCGTCGTCGTTATTATTATTATTATTATTATTTTCCTTTCATAATCATCATCATCATCATCATCATCATCATTATCGTCGTCGTCGTTCGTCAAACTTGATTTGTAAAAATTAGTCACGGATCAATAAAACCGAATCCGTATTAATATAACGATGATGATGATAACGAGGTTTTTCATTGTCATATGTTATACCGACGATAATATAATTGAAATCGTTTTCCCCCTTCCCTTCCCTCCCCCCTTTCCCCTCGATTCTTTCATATTCTATCGACGCGGCGTAATTCGGCATAAAATTTCCGCCGATTCTTTTTTTTTTTTTTTAATGGGATGTTATAACGTTTCGATAAAGATTAAAGTGGTTTGAAAGTAAAAAAAATTTTTTTTTTTTTACGAAAGAAAAGTAAAAAATAATAATAATAATAATAATAATAATAATAATAATAATAATGATAATAATATTTAATGAGAGCGAAACTAACGTCTACAACTTTTAATGATACTTTTTCTTTTTTTTTTTTTTTTCATACCATGTAATTAATATTTAAATATTTTTGGAAACCCCATTCGTTCGTTCGTTCGCTTTTAATTTTTAATTTTAATTTTTTTTTTTTAAGGTAATAAATCCGCACGTGGAAGCAGAAAGTAGAAAGAGAGAGAGAGAGAGACAGATGAGGCGAATTAATTTTTTTAAAAAGTAAAACCGTCCAAAAAAAAAAAAAAAAAGGGAAATTAATATTATTGACGTGGAAATTTTTTTTCTCTTTCCCTTCCCCCTCTCCTCTTCCCCTCAGTTTTTTAAAACATCCCCGTCATCGTTTCAACACTCTTCAAACTTTTAATTAATTAACAAGTTGAAAACGTGCGCACAACCAAACAACCGTAGAGAGAGAGAGAGAGAGAGAGAGAGAGAGAGACAAATCTAAAGAATTTGCCGTTGAAAAATATAAATCCACCGCGTAAAAATAGTATCGCGTAATTTGTTTTTATTCTTAAAATAAAACTTACGGCATTGCATGTGTTGACATCGACTCCGGAATTTAAAAATTCCAAAACTCTATCCAATTGTCCGGCTCTGGCAGCTCTCAAAAACGATGCTCCCGGATCGTTCTGAAAATACAAAGAAATGATAAATTTTTTTTAAAAAAAAGGTTACGTTCAACAAACAAACAAACAAACAAACAACAAACAACATGGCCGTGTACGATCCGTGAAAAAAACGAGTTCGAACACAATGGCATAGCAATAATAATTATTTATAACTTAAAAAAAAAACATGATCCCGCCATTTATAACTTTAATTTAATATGTCATAAAATATCTAAAAATAAAAAAAATTATAAAAAAAAAAAACCGGAAATTTTCAAATCTAAATATATTAGACTCAAGAATTCGAGAGAGAGAGAGAGAGAGAGAGAGAGAGAGAGAGAGGGGGGGGGAGAAAACGTGGAATTTTTTTTTGTTTTTTTTTTTTTCCAGCAATAAAAAAATCCAAATTTAATTTCAACCTGAATAACACCACCTTCCACCACGGTTTCGATATACCGAGTTCTGGAAAGTTTTGGAAATCGAGTAGCAGTAGAAGTAGGAGTAGTAGTAGGAGGAGGAGGAGGGAAGAGAGGAAAGAAGGGGGAAGATAGGTGTCGGGTTACTCACACATTCTTTTTGGAAAATAAAAAAATAATTCAAAACCGTTTGTTTAATTTTTTTTTTACGCTAAACTTGCCAGTTTAATTTTGTTTCAAAACTTTTTTTTTTTTATAAACAAACATAAAAATTTTAATTTTTTTTTTTTTTTTTCAATGTTAAACAAATTCGATTACTTTGACCGATTAATTTCCCGCATTAGAGGAGGTCATCGAGTTTTCACAAATAGGTGATGCGTGGAATGTATTTTTCCCATATATATCAACAAATTCTTATCAATTTTCCAATATCTCTCTCTCTCTCTCTCTCTTTTCTAACGAACCGTAAAAACCTTTCGTTAACTACAATTTCACACTCGAAATTTTTGTTTGGGGGGACGAAAAAAAAAATCCTAACCTTTATATCGAGTTCATTACCATCGTCTGCAAAAAATTTTTTTCTGCACAACCGAATCGTTATGATAATATATTACAAGTCTTAATCGTAGTCTTAGTCGTCATCTTGTTGTTGTGGTTGTTGCGGTTGTTATTCGTAACATAATTAATATTAAAATCCTTTTAATACGCGCGCGCACGCATAACACCCACGCTCGTTTCACAAAGTCACCTTAACGTCCAACCACAACACTACACTAAATATAATTTCTTATTAATTATTAATTCCTATTATTATTATTATTATTATTATTACTCAGTCTACCGTAGATGCGTTAATTAACAAAATCGCAACAAATGCCTTTCTTATAACTTTTTACATCGCCCTTAACAATCTGACACGCACAACAACACAACAATTTAAACATTTTCATAAACGTTTGTAACGGTTATAAGACAAACATTACGTTTTGTTTGTTATAATTAAATGTTTGTTTGTTTGCCGTTACAATTTGCAAAAAAGCAAAATACATATGCATACGATACGCCGCGTGAAAATTTTAATCAAAGCGTTATAATAATAATAATAATAAAATTAACGATCGTTTCCGTTGAAATAATACATTTAATAAAATCATCGTCGGCATCACAAATCGGTCTGCATTATTATTATTATTATTCGTCGTCACCGTCATCATCATCATTATAGTCGTCGTCGTCGTCGTCGTCGTCACTAAAAATAAATATATATATCCTATAATTAAAATTTCTCTTTCTCTTCGCTTTTTTTTTCTTAAGTACTCAAATGTCGCCCAACCTTCCTGTTCCTTCCTTCCTTCCTTCCTTTCAATTGTTAATAATTTTTAATTAATATTAATTCATCTTAAAGACTTTTCAAATAAATAAATAAAATTAGAAATGGGAATTAATAATTAATTAATTAAATCGTTCTATTTTCGGTATGTTGAATCATCGAAAAAACGATTTAAAAAAAAAAAAAATGAATTTTCATTTCATTCGATTCGATTCCATTCGATTCGATTCGATTATTGCCTTCTTTCGATTTAATATCAAATCAACAAACAAACAAACAAACAACAAAAATTGATATTTTGCCACTGAAACATACGCAAAATCCTGTTGGTTCCAGCATGTATGTGGAACCGTGGTGAGGAAATTTTTTTTTTCTTTTCTTTTCTTTTGTTTATATCAATGCAGGTGTTTTCCCCGCACCTTTACGAATGACCTTTTACGAATCAACCGCCCGCACATAATCCCTGAAATATTATGTAATCGCTAATAATAGATTTATTCGTGAATAAATGAACAATTTATATAATTCGATTATATGCATTGCCCGTGCGATATTCAAATCAAATTCAAAATTTTAATCGTAACTTCATCAAATTTTATTTCGATGGGAGACGAATCAGAAAACAAAATAATAATAATAATAATAAATCGAACGAATTTCCCATTGTAAAATTAAGAAAATTCTAGAACGTCATCCGCGGATATTAATTTCGAGTGTTTTTCCTTTTTTTAATTAAACAAATGATATGCAAAAAAAACAAACAAACAAACAAACACTCGAGGGCGTGGTTCGATCTATCTAAAAAATTAAAAATATTATCATTATTAATAGTTTCGCTCTTTTTAAAAAAAACAAAAAAAAAATTTACGCGAACGAAACTGATGACGACGACGACGACGACGACGACGATGATGATGATGACGACGATGATGATGATGATGATGATGGCGGTTTGAATAATAATAATAATAATAATAAATCATCGAAACGTTTTCTGAGCTGAAAAAATGAGGGAATTCTTTCCGTTTTTTTTTTTAATTAATTTTCGGGAGGGATTCCCCATCGAATGTCTTTCGCGTCGATTTGTCTTAATAGAAAAAAAAGTAATAATAATAATAATAATAATAACAACAACAACAACAACAACTACAACGACAAAATTGATCTCTTTTAATTATTATTTAGTGTCTATGGCAAATCGTTTTTTTTTTTGTTTGTTTTCGTCATTCGTAATGAATGGCAAATTTTCGGGTCATTACTTAAAAAGATTATCTTTTAAGTACGAGTTCAGAAATGTCAAAGGTCACAACAAATTATTAAAAATTAAATATATATATATATATTTGTTTAAAAAATCGCAATGAAAAAATTAAAAATCGTCTGCAAATTATTTCGCAACAAAAGTCTGGATTTAAAAAATTCTATGAATAATTTTAAAAAAAAAAATTTTTATAATTTTAACCTTTCGCCGAATGGATTTTCCACAATTTTAATTTAATCCCACTGCCGACCGATATCGTTTTAATATCATTTTATTTTTCCTTTGTATTAATAATAATAATAATAATAATGATGATGATAATAAAATGAAGAAAACGAAAATTTTTACAATGCAAATATAAACAAATTTAATAAGTTTAAAATAAAAGCGAGTAAAAATTATTCCGAGAGCGGTGCGTGACATTAAATTCTTTATAAAAAAAAAAAAAAAAAAAAAAACCCATTAAAAATGAATTTAGAAAAAAAATTATTCTCTTTCTTTTCTTTCTCTCTCTCTTTTTCTCTCTTTCTCTCTTTCTCTCTCTCTCTCTCTCTTTCTCTCTATTTTTTTCTCAGTCTTTCTCTCTTTTTCTCTCTCTTTCTCTCTATTTTTTTCTCAGTCTTTCTCTCTTTTTCTCTCTCTTTCTCTCTCTCTCTCTTTTTCTCTCTCTTTTTCTTTTTTTTTTTAAAAAAACCAAAAAAAAAAAACCATATTTAAAAAAAAATTTCAATTTTTCACAGTTTTAAATTATTAAATAATTTCATTACTCCCACACCGAGAAAAAAAGAGAAATAGAGAGAGAAAGAGAGATAAAGAAACCTAATAATAATAAATATTTTACCTTTTGAAAGTTCCCAGAAAAAAATAAAATAAAAAAAGTTTGATTAAAGTATATTAAAAAAAAAAAAAAACTGCGAAAATATTTCGCTTCGTCTGCGGCAGTGGCAGCAGCAGCAGCAGTAGCAGCAACAACAACACAAGATACGGAAAAGTTTACCTAAACAAAGAGAGAGAGAGAGAGAGAGAGAGAGACGTAAAAAGAAAAATGCGAAAAATTCAATTTCCCACAGTTTTTTTTTTTTAATTTTTTTGCATTTTCTTTTTTCTCTCTTTTCCTCTTTCATTCTCTCTACTCTCTCTCTCTCTCCCCTTAATTTTTTCCCGGTATCTTTTTTGATAAACTCCCCTTGGAAATTCACAACAGCAACAACAACAACAACGAAAAAAAAAAAATTTTCTTTGTTTTTCTTTAATGATGAATAATCAAAAAGAAATTAAAAAGAAATGAAAAATAGTTCAAAGTATTAATAATAATGATAAAACAAAAGGAGTAAGAGAGAAAGAGAGATAGGTAGATAGATAGATAGAGAGAGAGAGAGAGAGAGAGAGAGAGAGAAACCGTTTTTTGAATTTATGATTTTTTTTTATTAAAAAAAAAAATTTTTTTTAAACTCAATCGATTTTAATATAAAAAAATATTACGCAACCTTACAACGACCATCGATTTTTTTTTTAATTTTATTTTCCAAGCAGAAGACAACAACAACAACAACAACAAATAAAAAAAAACCCATCGAAAAAATTTCACGAAGTAAACAATGAGATTTTATCGTTTCGTCGACAAAAATCCCGTCGATCGTGAATAATCCTCGATAAATATTTAATAGATAATTCGATCGACCAATCCGAAGCTTTTTAAACAAAACTCTCGCTTCTCATTGGTCGATTACGGTGCCGTTCGATACACGCTTCATACGCAATTAAAAAATCATCTCGACGGATTCGAAATTTCCTTACGTACCTTCCATTTTTTCCATTCTCTCTCTCTCTCTCTCTCTCTCTCTCTCTCTCTCTCTCTCTCTCTCTCTCTCTCTCTCTCCATTTTTTTTTTTTTTTTCATTTCCGCTTCGTCAAATTTAATTAATAAAAAAAATTTTATTTTTATTACCGATAAAAGAAAATATTTCGCCATTTTTTTTTTTTTTTATTATTTTTGAATATAATACCTGACGTTAATAATTTAACACAGTGGGTGTTTTTTTTTAAGAAAATTGGCAACAAACACCGTCGTCGTCGTAAAACGTCGCCATTGTTCGATTTTTAAACTGCGCTGTTGGCAACAACGATGACAACAAAAAAAACAAC